CTGGTAGCTCGGCGCTCTGGCGGTGCCCGTCGCTCTGGCGGTGCCCGGTGCTGGTGCCCGGAGCTCAGGCGGTCCCTGGTCTCGCCCGCAGTGAGGTTGCTGACGGCGCTGCGGCGGCGCTGCGATATCGCTGGGAAGCGGCTGTCGGGGCCGGGCCTGGCCGCCGAGGGACGCGTCCTGCGCGCCGTGCTCTACGCGTACCACAGCAGGCTGCTCCGGCACCGGCCCTACCTGGCCCTGCAGCAGGTGAGCACCAACCCCACCTGGGCGGCAGGGACCCGGCACCTGGGTACTCCCGGCCCCCAGTCACCGCTCCCCCAAAAGCCTTTGGAGTAGCAGTTTGCGTCCAGAGCATCGTGCAAAAAAAAAATTTGGGAACAGGTTCGTTTTTGTTGTCTCACAGTGGAGCCTAGTGGGTTTCTTAGCTCTGTGCAGCTAGTGCAATTTCCATTTTCCAGCCCTGGTCTCTGATACTCATACTGAGACTTGAAGTAGGTACCGTTCCATACCTTTGAATATATGAATAATACAGGGACATAATTCTCAACTAAATGTAATAATGGGAGGAAAGAATAATAATAATTCTATCCTACTTATTTGATGCTTTCTGTTCTAAGAAGAGTGAACACCTTGCCAGTTTTCCTGGAAAGGGGTTGTCAGCATCTTCAAATAACTGTTTTGAAATGGAGCAGGAATGGTGCTTACCTTCTAGATTTGTTTATTGTTTTCCTTCTTGACATCCAGTAGTAAAGGCCCTTGTATACAGCAGGGAAATCGTGCAGCACCAATTAAACATGGCCAACTCCAGTTCTTCACTTAATTCTGTGTTAAGTGGAGTACAGTATGATGTAGGGATGTTTTTAATCATAGTGCAGATACAGAAATGTCCCAGAATGTCCCATCACACAAACCTGCAGTGTGGGCTGTTAAACTGATAAGGAGAAGGTGTCATTTAATCTAGTGACAGTTCTTAGACCAGGGGACTGAGTCTTTCAAAATACCACTCAAAGAAGTTTTCTTTTCTCCTAGGTAGAGCAGTGTTTGAAGCGCCTATGGAAAATGAATTTGGTGGGCTGCCTGGAAACTCTGGTAGGACTGATTCCCAAGTAAGTGTCATGATGCCATATCTTGTACTATCCATTAACTCAATCTTCAGAGGTAAAGGAAGAGGATGCTAGATCATAACCAACTCTTCATCCCTTTATCAACACAGGAAAAATGCATCTGAAGCCCACGCAGAGTGCTTGGTCCCCAGCCAACCTGTGCTGGAAACAGTGGCTTTGAAGGTGTTGGGAGGCTGCAAGCTCATACTACGTCTACTGGATTGTTGCTGTAAAGCTTTTCTGTATCCTTTTTTCACCACAAAAACATTCTTAGAGCTCATCAGTAGCACCTCATGAGACCAAAGCCGGGTCTCGTGTTGGCCCTGTACTGCTGATGAACTGAACTGTGCAATTCATACGTGCAACTTGAAGTTTGTTTGATAGCCAAAGACCTTTTCCAGTTATTATGTAGGAACCTCGGGCTGTTTGGCTGGCAGCTGTTCTGGCCTTGAGCAATCCAAAGTTTGGATACTCATCTCCCAGATTATTCCAGGATATCGCCTTGTGAATTGCCTCTAGTTGGTGTGTTCAGCAAGTCTCATTACATGCTGTTTATTTTTTTAACCTTAACTGCTGTAATCTTCAGCTTGTCCATTAAACACCTCTGCTCAGAGGAATTCATACTCCTGAATACTGTGGCTTCGGGGCTACTGAGCCGGCTCTGGTTTGTGTGTTCGAAAGTCTGTCTTGTTTGTGTCTGTCTGTTTGATGTGCCTGTCGGGGAGAAGGGCTTGTAATTAGGCCTTGCTGCTAAGGGAGTTTCATTCAGTTGAATTCAGGGAGAAGGAGAAGGGAGGGGTCCCTCCATGCCTTTGGACCTGATTCTAGCACCTGCAGAGTTGTACGGGAGAGACTTCTTACACACTCTTATGGACAGCTTTGTTCCTGGATCTTAGCAAACTGTATGTAGCTCTAATGAAACCACAGTGTCAGTGTCAGCCTGCCACAAACACCTGGTACTTCCTGCAGCGAGGAGTAAGTCCTGCCTCATAGATAGTTGAAATTTCATGCTGAAATGGAAAGGTTTGGATAAACATGTTCTATTACACTGCTGAGTTTTCCACAGAAAATGGGTGTTCTGGTCTTGGAGAATAACTGCTGTCTGTAGCTGAAGGAGTAAAAATATTGTTAGAACAACTTTCTTTGGCACAAGAAATCCTGTGTCTCCAGAAAACTTAGAGCAGGCAATTGTGTGGTATCAGGCCTGAGTTGGTGCAGGGTGATTTTGTGGGAAGATCTTACGGCTCCTTGGATGTGACCCAAGAACCTGATAGGTCCCAAGTGTGACACTCAGCAAAACTCTAGGAAGCACAGGGGCTCCTGATCAGGAATTTACTAGTTAAGTCACTCCTGCATTTTGATCTGGAACAGTTCCTTAAAGCTCACACTTAAGAAAAGCAGGGTGATGGAGTTAAAAAAGGTGAATTTGTACTGAGGGGAAACAGGAGAAGGGCAGCTGAGCTGAAAGTAGTTCTTCTGTGAGCATCATGTTTTGCTAGAGGAGACTCCATTCTTTTTTGTCCTCTGTTTTCAGGATTCAATACAGGTGTGTATTGCAGACCCTCACATCCTTGTATGATGCTTTGTCGACAGTGCTTCATCTGGTATCTGAGACCCAACAGACCCCTTATATCCAGGGGTTTACCTTCCCTTCTGATATCTGTGACTTCCTTGGAGTTAACATATCTTCTGAGGCAAAGAAGCAACAGGCTAAAATGTTTACAACAAAAAAATCTACCAGCTGGATGAAGAAGCTCTGCCCAGCAATGCCAGAGGCAGTATCAAAGGTTGGGAAAAAGAGAAAATCTGAGACCTGTAGAAGTGCCATGAATCACTGTAGCACCCCATGTGCTATGGACATTGGAGAGAGAGTGGTGGCGCCCACAGCCAGGAGAGGTAAAGCCTTGTGCCAATGTAATGGTTTCTGACATCTCAGAGACTGCAACTTCTATCCAACAGAGCCAAGCACTTCTACCCACAGTGTGGTTCTAGTACAAACTCCCTGTCCTTGGAAAAAGTGAATGCTGCATGTGCCCTTGCCTTTGTAAAGCTGTGGATAATGTCAGTATCATGATTTTTGGGGGGTTTCTTTTAAACAGGATAGAGTCTGAAGAGAAGCAGGTAATGAATGCAGTATACTGAATGCAGTATACAGATGCTGAAAACAGTTATTTGTACTTTCCTGCTTTTGCATGGCTAAGAAGTTATGGGCACTATCTGCAGTCCATACAAGAGTAGGTAAGGCTGTAGGTACAGGTGCAAGTGTCCTGTGCTTGCTGGTTCTGAACTGTGCTCAAATCTTCCTGTGCAGTCAGGGCTATGGCCAGTGACTGCAGCCATCCACATGTTTGCGTGAAGCTTTTACCTATTAAATTCTCCTTTGCAGCCATCTGCAAAGCTCTGTATGCTCTTCATTCCCTGTCAGCTGCAGTGCACAGACTCAGTCCCCTTGAGTTTGCCTGGAAATTGAGTTGAGTACAGATGTGAGCCTGCTGAGAGCTCTATGGCATCTCTGTGCACAGAAATAAAACTATCTTAGTGTTGTAATGGGAACTCTCCTCTCTCTCTGTAGGGAAGCACCCAGGGTTTGATGTGAAGAGCTTGCTTAGGCCAGCCAGACATCCAGCACAAGAGGTTTGTATGGTATTGTTTTACATGCTGGGTTGGTGGTTTGTATTTTAAAGATTCTAACACTTGAAACACAATATCCCTGATTGAAAATGTCCTCTTGCCTTATTTTTGCTTGTCTAACAACTCAGGTTAGTGTGGAAACTTTGCACAGAAAATCAGTCACTACTTATTTCTGCTTAGAAATTTAGGCATTTGTTGATTTGTCAAGAGAAAGGACCAGAGAGCAAATCAGTAGTAGACAGGAATACAAATCATAAACATCTGCCTCTTCTTTTTGTATTCCTGTGGATGCTAAATCAGAACCAGAGTGCCTGTAGTTATTACAGGCCACATAGCTCTCAGGCCTGACTGAAGCTAGCCTGGGAAATTCATGAGAAGGAATTAAAACAATTCTCAGAGATACTAAACAGCCTTGCAGGTGTTGTTTTGCAACCTGTTGTTTCTCCTTGCAGGAAACAGTCAGGGGGGGCAAGTGCCCCTGACCAATGATGGTGGTGTAGTACTTTGTTAACCAATAAGAGTTTCCTTTCTGTACTTTTCCACGTATCTGTCTATAAGACAGAGCTGAAGCAATAAACTAAGGAATTCTCCTGTTGTGACTCCCTTGAGAGTCCATTGTCGTTCTTCATCGCCGTTCCCAATCGGAGCGACATATTCCACTAAAAAAGACTGCTCTTCCCTTCTCTCCTTAGAAAATGAGGGATGTTCTCACAAAAATCCCTGTGTCCTGCTCCCTTCCAGCAGAAAGGATCAGACACATCACCTTTTTAAAACACTATTTCTGTTCCTGTTTGTTTCAGGCTCTAAGCATTGCATCAACACCTTTTAAAGCAAAGTCATCACCACTTTCATCTCGGATAGCAAAATCACAGCACACTGGATCTCTTGTACAGATGATTCAAACAGCTGCATCATTTGGGGAGCTGTCAGAAGCACTCAGAAAAGCTATTCTCTGGTGCAAAAACAACAAATTCAAATCAGAAGCTTATTTTCTGCGTAACAAGTTGTTGAAAAGCAACCGGCTGCACCATGTGGAGGCTCAAGGATGCAGGTAGTTTTGCATGAGTGTGGGATTTCTGAGTCTTAACACTTTATATTTCAGTATTATGTATTATGCTATAGTATAGTGAAATAAAGTGGTCTATGCCATGCTTTTAAAACTCAGGATTACTAGTTCAGGTTACTGTGTGCTCTGACCATGAGCATTCTGTTTAGCTTCAGTGACTTGTGATTTAAAAATGACTTAAAAGGCTAAAAAATGTACAATACTTGGGAGGGAAGATGAAGATGCAGCTGAAATCATCTGCATGTTTTATGGTAACAACTGTATGAGGCAAGGGTTGTCTTCATTCAGACTGTTTTGGCTACTATTGTACAGGGTGCTGTTCTGTTTCCTTGGTATTACAAGGAAAATTATAGGAGATGGGTAATAACGAAATCTCTCCAAACTCCAAATGAAGTAACTCTTTAGTAGCTGATAAAGTTTTGTTTTGTGCACTTTTCTCCCCTTAAGCCTGAAGAAGAAGCTGCACTGTGTCAAAACGTCTGTCCGTAAATACCTCCTGTACGGGTCACAACACATGCGCTGGCCAAGGCAGCACCTCAGGGCACGGTTCTGCCGAAGGGGGATCAGATCATCTGCACTCTTGAAGACAGCTCTAAAGACTGGTGGGCAAAAGCCTCCTGAGCGTTTCAGGGTCTGTGAGAACAGTGCATCACTCATCCTCTCAGCTTACCAGGGTGGGTCTCTGAATCAGGAAGAACATTCCCGCATTGATACAGGACCTGTCAGACTAAGCACAACAGGGACCTCTAAGCAGCTGCTGCTGGAAGGAAGCCCTGGCCCTGTGTGGAAAGACCTTGCTGAGAACACAGATATTGATTCTATTTTTGCAACAATAGGTGTCTGACCCTGGACTTGAAGGAGGAAAGAGGTCAAGTCATTCTATTTTTTTTTTTGTTTTGTTTTGTTTTTAAGTAAACCCCTCTGAACCCTAATGGTGTCTCAGTAACTGACATCCTGAATTCTGTTAAGAAAGTAACAACAATTTTATTATGTTTTTGTAAAACAACTTTTTTTTTTAATGGCTGATTTTTATATTTTTGAGGGTGTTCCAAATAATCAAAGTGTTACGATGTTCGAAGTGTGAAAGTGTTCAAGGGTGTTCCAAATAAGAATAGTCTCTGTCCTTTTAGCTACCCTTGTCCAGAAACAGTGACTTTGTTACCCTTACTCAGTGTCCCCTCTCTATTGCCTGACTACACTTTTAAGTACTGCTGTCAAATCCATAGTGCATATAGTTCCCATCCATGGCAGAAAGGCTGCAGCTGATCACTCACTGCTGCTTTGGACAAGACTTACCAACACCTTTCCAAGGGTTCTTTAAACCTTTCCTTCTGTGCCGCTTGTAGAGGGGACAGCCCTGATGTGCAGTCCTGATGCTGTTTCACCATTTGTTATGCTTGTCCTGAAATGAGGAGTTAACTGAACCTACTTCCCCTGAGCTGTTCCAGAATAGGGAAAAGCACATCTGTGGCCTGCAACAATAACCCTGTATTACCCACCTTCTGTGAATTAATCAATGTACATTTAGTTATGAAACATGGGCACAAATTTATTCAAAAAGCATATACAGAGCAAAGAGCACAACTTTGATACTAGTTTGGGCCTAAGGTCTTCATACAGATAACCAAGATCCATTTTCAGGGTTTCCTGTCACAAGAATACCCAGTCACAACTGAAACAATTTTAGAGAGTCATGAACCATCAGACCTCGAGCCATCTGATTCAACATAGGCCTACTTCAAACAGACTCCTGCTATTGCAGGAATTTTTAGAGCTCTTTTTTAAATTTCATCAAATGGTATAAAAAGACCTAAGTATACCACATATGATCAGGTAACATTTCAGCTGCTTGAATACTTCTCAGCAAAGGCTGGGAGTGAGGGCAAACATCCCAGCAGTGATCTCCATCCTGAAAAACCCTTCCAAACTACATGCACAATCTTCCTTCTTACTGGGCAGCAGGTGCCCAAATAATGCCCCAGTGCAGATGGGGTATTGTGTACAGAATCAAGACCCATAGTTTGCTTCATCAAAAGCCTTTCTGGCTCGTTTCAGTTCTTCATTCATAGTTAGGAGGTCTTTAACTCTGGCAAACTTCCGGGGGTCCTTGCGTATTAGAAAGACAATGTCCTCGACCTGTACCCGACCCTGCCGCCCGATGGACATGGCCTTGTGTGTCTGTTAGAGGGGAAAAAAATAGTCAGCAGCATTCCTTTGCCACGTTTTTAAATTCTCAGTTCCACTTTATTTCCTGTCATTCTATAATAAAAAAGCAAGCACTTGCAGGTTCTGGGCACCATCATCCTAGTCACAAGAGAGCTTCCCAGTAAACCATGGACTTACTCTGCTGTCCCCAGCTGTCTGTCACACCCCAAACATAATCACTATATATACATCACATAATGGTACCAAAACTAAGGCCAGATTACGCATAGGACACCTAGCCTGCAGGATGGCTGAACTTTAGGCACAACTTGGAAGCAATGTGAGGTAACCATATCAGAGGATAGTGTAGGGTATTTCGATAAGGATAGGAAATACCAGCCTTTCAAAAGAAAGGGGAATGTTTGGGTACTTAGAAAGGGTGTCCAGGTCTGGAAGGGAAATGGCCTCCAGCCCAAGAATGCATTTCTTTTGTAGGACAGAACAAAGTTCCCATCCATGTACAGACACTGGGCAAACACAAAAAGTTGACAGAGTTTCAAATCTGAGGCTTCTGTCAGCAGTTATGTCGCAGTGAACCCCAAAGGTGGGTATTTCCCCTCCTACAATAGATAACTGCTACTTAAAGACTTTAGCATTCTAAATCCACATGGAGCAAGATGTGTAAATTTTGCTTTAATCTTGGAAAAACAAAATCCAAGTTTATCCTACTAATGCCATGAGTTGGGGCCTGGGATAATGCAGTATTTGAGTCAGAGATATTCAGCTTCAGAAAGCTAAAGTTCTGGTGAGGATGTTTTGACCGTGCCATCTAGAGCTGACTTACCATTTCAGTGATAAATTCTATTACCAGGTCCTCAAGAATGTCCACTGATTCTGTGTAAGGGTTCTGGTCGTCCCCAAATCCATACATCATGCACCTTACTGCACAAAGAAACACTCAGCATGAGGCTTCTTTCATCCAGTCCGTGCTGCACACATCTAGTTAGAGCTCACCAGCCTGCACATTCCTGCACCAGGACGGCACTCGTCTGTCAGGCACGACAACTCTTGAGGAAACATAAAGGAAATAAACAGAAGCCAACAAAAGGCCTGTAGGGATAGGAGCTGTACATACAGAAAAGCGTGTCTGAGGACAGGCTCTCTGAATATTCATTCAGGCTGCAAAGCACTGCACAGTGACAGTGCAGCTGACTTTGGGCACAGCTAGGTTCAGAGGATGCACTAGCAATATTTTTGAGGGGGTCTACATGGCAGATTTCTGCAATTGCAGCCAAGGAACATTACGAAAGCCGCTGTTTTGCTAAGGAGAAGTGAGTTTTGGGACCCTACGGCTGTCAGCTCGGGGTTTCAGCTGAGTGGCCCGGCCCGACTCACGCTCTTTGGAGAACAGCCTCTTCCTCCTGCCCTGCCCGCCGTCCAGGCTCCCGCCGGCGTCCTCCGCATCCTCCTCGAACTACACGGGCACAGCGAGGGGAGGCCGCGGTCAGCGCCCGTCTGGCCCCGGCCCCTTGGCGCCGCGCCCCCGCCCGCGGCCGGGCTGTGGATGCCCGG